AGTAAATCAATGAAATGTGAAAGCACTGCTTTTTCGAACGTTCTTAGATTGTTTACATATAATAACAAAATCTAGTTGTTGTCATGTAATTTAGTATTCATTAAATCAGGTAGCATCGATTATATAGACGTTTGTTATTGTCGCTTTTCTTTCGCTAACAGTTCGACGTGATTGTGTCATTTGTAAGCAATTTAAAGTTGAGCATTTTGCGTGTGTATTTAGTGAGAAATGCAAACAATTCACATCATTTCGTCATTCGATCTGCTGCTGCGAGACTATAATACAGTACATAATGTGAGCGCAGCGGAGGTAAACAACAAGGGTCGTGAGAGAGTGAGAGACTGCGGACAAAAACGTGGGGTGAATCTATTTATCGATTGATTTCCTACTTTTTCCGTTCGGGGATAATTCTTCTCCAGCTCAGAGAGGGGTGGGTCGATCGTGTGTGCATCTGGGTGTATGGGCACAAAAGGGGCATAATTAAATCTAGGAAATGGAAAATGTCGCAAAACGGGATGCCCGTTTTTCGGGGGACGAGCGGGTGGTTGGGTGGGTGGATGGATGGTTCACGGCTCAATAGACCCAGACACGGTGTTTCGTAGGGGTAGGTTCGGGGTTTCGGAGGGACGCGAGGCGCGCGCGCCGCAAGAACCGCTCTGATTCCATTAAGCGTCGGTCCAGCGTCGAGACGCCCTCCCAGACGAGGAGACACGCCGCATTTCCGTCACACCCACACAAAGATCAAAGGTAAAATTCATCTAAATCATTTTACCCGCGCAAAAAAACCAAGAAAACCCGAAAAACGGAGCAGCGGGTTACTCGTCCCACCGCCCGTCCATCTCTCTCTCTCTCTATCCACTCATTAAACCCAGATTAATTCGAGCGCCGAAGATACAATGCAATCAGGCTATTTTCGTACCATTGATGACATACAGCTACGTGAAACACATACTCTATGCGAACTAATTTATGTTCCCATCGAGTTAACATTCTATTAGAAGGATACATGTCGCAAATACAAAGACACACAAGCACATAATTTATATAAATATACAATCAATCCTTTACTTTTTATTGAATCCAATCAATTACTTCCAAATTCGAAGAAAAAAAAATCCTTAATTGAACTTCCTAAACCGCTTTACACGCTTAAACAATCTATAAAACATTTGATTCAACGGCCTTCCCTGTTCATCCAACATATTCTTAATTAATTGTTACACCTATTACAGAACAACAGCAAAAATGTTATAATATGGAATTCCAAATTCGTTAATTGAATTTCAGTCGTTTTTACGGTCATTCACCGAATTTATTAATTAATTAAAAAGCGTAAATGAATAAATATATATAAAAAAAAAATGAATACAGTTGAGTAAACTAATTGGAATTTTCGGGTACAATTCGAAATCAAGGTTGCGGTGGCAACGTAATTAGAATTTGCCAAAAAAAAAAATGAAGAAAAAATCGGACACATGATGTCATTTACGTATGCTCTTTCATCCTCCGCACACGTACGCGTATTTACTTCTTCCGTTTGGGGAATTTCACGACAATAATTGCAATTCAAATTCTCCGTCCGTATTTCCAATAGTTTCGTGTAATTTCCAGCTGTTTTCTTCTCCTCGCTTTTGTGATCCGCTCTACCATGATGACGGATTATCGAAATCGACCCTCCGTGGATCAATTTGGCAGATGGTCGTTTACGAAATATGTGCCAAAAGTCTGGGGTTCTATTTACCAATCTAAACTAAATGATACAAAAGACTTGAAATTAATACTTTATAATCCACGAATTAACATAATAAATCAAATGAATGGGTTTGAGTTTGAAGAAATTTAGAAGTCTACATGTAAAAGTGTAACGACGGGCAGTAATGATATGTATGAGATGTGAACTGTGGGCGCGAAACGCTTAGCGTAAAATTGTTATGAAACATGATTGAAGCGTGTAATCTGTTGAACAGTGGGCGCAAAACCATCAGAAGCAGCATCCGAACATTTTAGTGCTCGATTGTAGTGTTTACGCTCACTAAAAACTATTGGAAATAAGCGAGGAAAGTGCACGCGAAATCCGAGTAATATCGTGTAAAATCGACGATAAAATTTTAGTATTATCTTCAAAATAACTCTAAAATTACAATAATTCATAATAACATAAGAAGCAGTCTTCTATTGCGAATCTTTTGATGTATTTAGTATTACTTAAATCTAATTAGTAACAAAGATTTTTACGATTTTATTTCGATAAGACGATAAACGTAAAGTAAATAATGTTTTCTGTAATGCAAATTGAAGGCGTAAAACTAACGAATTGAAGTGTAAACGTCCCGCAGCTATCTTATAAAACGATGTTGATCAGCAAGTGTAAAATCACCATAAAACGTGTCGAAAAGTGGGCGAAAAACCGTCGTAAATCACTCGCTGAACAATAAACATTGAGACGATGGATTTACCCGAAAGGCATGTCAGTTTAATCAACTTTAAACACTAACAAAACATACTTTATAAATCTTAAAATCAAATGATTATATAATTAATATTTAAGTAAAAAAAATCACTTTAAACTAATTATCATTAAGTCACGTTTCTCACGCAATAGGAATAATCACATAAACTTCTTTCGTATTGGATTTCATTTACTGTTACAAAATACGACCGAAATCTTGTGGAAACGATTCGCAACCGTGCGAATATTAAGAAAGGTTTGAGAAAACAATCTTTTTTAGAGCATATTTATTAAATTCTCATTAAATTTTATACAAAATAGACTTGATTAAATGTTAATTCAATTATAAATCGTGAATGGGGAAGTACAATTAAACGAAATGGAAAAAACCAATAACAAAAATGCTTTTTTTTATTAAGAAATTGATTCATTCTTTGACGTCGTTGATGCTGCACGAATTACAAGAACTTGGGTTTATTCAATTTTTAAAAAAATATGGTAAACTTTTAGAAGATTTAAATCTGTTTAATAAATTGTTCGGATTTCTTCTCTTAAATTTCGAAAAGCAATTAACAAAACCGTTAGATTGTCCCATTATTATTATTTTTATTTTTATAATTTACGATTCGAGTTCAAAGTTGATGCAATTCGAACCGAAAAGAAATGATAAATGCAGAAGATATCTTCTGCGATGCAACAACATGTGTTGGATAAACGAGCGACAGTAATAATATTCGTTACACGATGACCCGAAACTTTACGTTTTTTCCATATTTCCGCAGTAAAATTGCTGGATTTATTTGGGAATTATTTTGTGATTTTAGTTATTCGTCATCGAAACTGTTACTTTTAATAGACGTCTACGAAATCCAATAAACTCGCTTGTTTCAACAATACGTTTTGTTTAATTTAGGAATGACCGTTAGCTTTTCGTTATATTGAACATTTCTCTTAGTCATCATTAAGTTCAAAGTTGATGCAGTCCATAAGTATAAGAGAAACGCACACAGAGAAACGTAAAAAGAAATTTTTACTGAAGAAATGCAAATTGAAGATTCAAATCTGCGTTCAATTTCCGATGTTTTCATCATTTCTTTAAATACTAGAACGCTTTTCGTGGTCATTCATGCTAAAAGTTAATTTCCATTGTATTTCGCGTAGAATCACAATGAGTTTTTCGAACAGAATCGATAGGCAAATGACCCCAACTCGTTTATTTTTAAGTTAAATTTACATGCAAATTTTTAATTATGTAATTATGAAATCGAATGTGTAAACTATTTCTAAATTGAGTTGCTTCAAATGAATCTAAACAACGCCAATTAATCATTTGTAATCTTTAGAATTTAACAAAAAAAAAAAAATAAAAACGAGTTTAAGTAGACTTAAATGATCGTTAATGTAATAATCATTAGTGAAATTAGCGCGAATCGAGTGTTTATAAAAAATTGTGATTAAAATTATTATCGAGATTTCGCTTCTTATTTTTTTTGTCTTCCTTGAACGTTGGAGATTTCTACGCAAAAATGTGTTCTTGTTTGTTCAATGCTTCGAAACGATGAGTCCGCGCTGAGGCCACGCCGTTATCACTACAATTCCGTGTAATTAATGGAAAAAAAAAATGTATAAACTTAATTACGACATTGGACTTTACGTAAATAATTGGCCTCAACAATATTATAAATATAAATAAATAAATAGTAATAAACAATTACGACTTAATTAATTGTTGCGTCAACTTAATGATTTCATTATTTAAACATACAAAAAAAAACATATAAACAGAAGAATTTTTTTAACTTTTTATTTGTAAATTCAAGATGAAATTTAATGGAAAGTTTGAGAGCAAGTAAACAATATGTTAAATAAGAATTATTCTTGCAAAATTTAACATTGAGGAATTCATCTGGAGTTACGTGTTTCGTTCTTTTAAATATAAAATCTTGCAAATGAACCGAAATATCGATTTTTCTATATATACTTTTTGCCACTTGACGATTCTGCGGAGCTGCACAAAACCAAGGGAAATCCGAACATTAATGGAAAAGATTCGCTCATTCATACAACAAATATGTTGCGAAATCGCATTAATCGCAAATAACACTTTGTTGTCTCTTATTTTTTTTTGCTTGTTTCTTATAGGTAAAAATAAAGTGATTAAAGTTTACTTTGTGAGTCAGGAATCGAAATAAATCGAACACAATTATCACAAAATCGACATCATCATTCTCTTGAGAGAATAAATTTACACAAAATATAAATTCTGATGAGCAGAACTGTTTTTTTTTTCTTCTAATTTTGTATTCGAATAATTGAGTTGTAATCAGAAATATAATTATTAACGTATAATTACGTAAGTCCTCTTTTGTTTTTCGCCTTCTAGATTCCTAAATTATAAAATTTAGGAATCTAGAAGGCGATTTTTGTCCCTAGACTAATTTGAATCTTCCTTCGCGTCAGTTGAAGCTAATTATTTTAATTAGATCAATGTTAATTAAAAGTAATTTCAAACTTAATGTAATTTCAAATAAATCACTTTCTCGACAAAATCGACATCATCATTCTCTTGAGAGAATAAATTTACACAAAATATAAATTCTGGTGAGCAGAATTGTTTTTTTTTTTTAATTATTTTGTATTCGAATAATTGAGTTGTAATCAAAAATATAATTGCATAAAGTTAATAACGTATAATTACGTAAGTCGTATTTTGTTTTTCGCCTTCTAGATTCCTAGATTATAAAATTTAGGAATCTAGAAGGCGATTTTTGTCCCTAGACTTCCTTCACGTCAGTTGAAACAAATTCTTTTAATTAGATCAATGTTAATTAAAAGTAATTTCAAACTTAATGTAATTTCAAATAAATCACTTTCTTTTTAACAATACGAAAAGAATAGATCAACAAAAATTGGATCAGAAACAAACTTTTTAGATGCGAAATAAGTTATTTTATTGCACTTTCATTGATTTATGCTTTAACAATTTGTCCGCACGTCGTAAATAACTCGACGTTTATGCTTAATCCTATGCATCGTTTCGTTTATCAATTTTAGACAGTTAGATGATATATCTTTGTTAAAATACTAATTTCATGATGATCTTATATATTTATTTATATAATTGTAACAAACGTAATTATGTCATCGAAATTTTGATGTAATTATTTAAATTTAAAGTGCAACATAAATAAATATTTATACTTGAAACTGTGCGTCATTTCGTTGCAAGTTCTTTTTGATGTGATTTGAGTTATGTTAAATATAAGATTGAGTAAGTTGTGAATGGAGGAAAAAAGGG